AATGCTTCGCATCAGCGGGTGCATTTTAAAAGTCGAGAACTTTAAAAGAGATGAATTTGAAATTTCGGCTGCATGGCTGTCCCGCAAATTCGAAATCACTTGAAATCAACACTTTTCACCTCTCCAGCCCCTCGTTTTATCGGTCGTGTTCAGCTCCAGATGTATTGCCAAGTATCCAGTGTAGCCCGCCGCCGCCCTCCGCCCATACGCGGGGACGGTTTGCACTGAATGGGCTTTATGGCAGGCAGTCGCAGCCACGTGGCGGCTGCCGGCGCTTCGGTCTCGGCTTCACAATATTTCATCTGCCAGCAGCGAACAGCATCCTGACGAACTGCCGCGCCAGCAGCCTATCGCAGAAATGCATCACCGATCCGAACTGCACGCCGCCACTCGCTGAGCGCCCGCCTCTCTCACCCGTCGTGCACCCCCGGTCCTGCAACGACAGAACGCTTGTGAGTTGCTACAGATGCCAAGAGCACCTCAGCTCATCCACCACACTGTAGCCTCCTATCGTCTTACGACAGGTGCGGAGGAGAGGGAGGGTTGGGCAATTACAAAAACTCGGCTTGGCTGGTCTCGTCTCATATACAAGCTGCAAAAAATTTTTTCTGCCGACGGCAGACAGGGCTACCCCAGGGCGGATGGCGGCAGTTTAAATGTAGGAGGTGGAAGTGGAGGAGGTACGTGGCGGGTTTCATTCGAGGCGTGGGAGGAGAGGGAGAAGGCTGAGATAGGTGGATATAAGGACTAAATGGCGTAGATCCTTTGCCGATTGACTAAGTAACGTACATTTGAGGAGGGAGGAGAACGGTGAAGAACGGAAAGGATGAGGAAGTGTGCTTCTCGGGCTTCCCTTTTTTTATGCGTTTTGTGCTGTGTAACAACAGTACAAAACGCAAATTGTCAAGGGTTTGTCTGTATGTGTGTTTGTGTGTGTCCCACATTTTGTCCCGCACTTTCAACTCGGGAACCATAAAAGCTAGGCGGCTGGAATTTTAGTATAATGTTCCCCGTCGACGGGTAACGCGGCAAATTTAAATTCAGCCTTCCCGTACCCGCGGATAACACATACGGCTCGTAAAAGTCTTTCGGGTAAAATCAGTATCTCGGGAACTACGGAAGATAGAAAATTTTGTGAGCATGTCTCCCGTCCATGTACTATCCGGAAAATTTTGTGAGCATGTCTCCCGTCCATGTACTATCCAACTTTCCCTGGCCCGCGGGTAAAAAGTACGGCCCTATGAAAATTTTTCACGGGTAAATTATTATCTCGGGAACCACGGGATCTAGGAAGCTGAAATTTTAGTGTAATGACCCCCTGCTCACCCTCAACCTTGCTCATTCAAATTCAGCGTTCCCGCGCTCTCGGGTATTATCTATAGCCTCGTGAAAATTTTGGCGGGTAAACTATTAACTCGGAAATCACGGAGGAATATTCACCCTTCAATGTTTCGAATTCAACTTTCATGCGCATGCGTGTGAAATTTCTAAATATTTTTCAATGTTTCAACTATTTTTGCATAGACTAAAGCATAACGCGGTGAAAATCATTAATATGCAATCGTTCGATGGGCTGAATTGCACAAAACGTATGATCGCACCGGCTAGTTGCTACTTATGTGAAATTGATGCTGTCCCGCAAAAGCTGTTCCACAAACACCCGTCATTGGGCTTCTTTGTTTATGAAATTGATGCTTAGGTAAAGTTGTTTAACAAAAAGCAGTCATCAGACTTTCCTGTTTATGAAACTAATGCTTAGGTAAAGCTGAGAGCGAATAAGTTGCAGGAAGTGGTCAAAAACAGGGTAGAATGGATGCCTGGGGATGAAGTGAACCTTTGCTCCCGTGAGATTTTGAAGACAAAAAAACAAAGGTATAACTGCTGTGCACAGTTGCAGGTTGCAAGGGTCAACGCTTTGGAATTGTCTGCAATTCTTGTGTGATCCGATTGGACCTATTTGCCCTAAGCTTTACTTAAGCATAAGCTTCAGTAAATTCCACCAGAATTATTTGCCTTCAGCTTCACCTAAGCATAAGCTTCAGTAAGGGCTCCAATTCTTTGATTTTGCTTTTTTTCCTTTTATTCACAAATTCAAGTCTGTTTTAGTTTACTTTTCTTTGTAGTGCCACATTGGTTTATTATGCGTTTTGTGCTCTGTAACAGCATTACAAAACGCATATTGTTACGGGGTTGTCTGTGTGTGTGTGTGTCCGCAGCAACTTGTCCGCAACTTTCAACTCGGGAACCACAAAAGCTAGGAAAAGCGCTGAATAGGGTAACGTTTCCCACCCACGTGTGACCCCACAAATTTAAATTCAGCTTCCCCGTACCCACGGGTAACGTGTACGGCCGGACGTTCCCCACCCATGTGTGACCCCGCAAATTTAAATTCAGCTTCCCCGTACCCGCGGGTAAGACGTTCCCCACTCACGTGTGACCCTTCAAATTTAAATTCAGCTTCCCGGTACCCACGGGTAACACGACCCACGTGTGACTCCGCAAATTTAAATTCATCTTCCCCGTACCCGCGGGTAACGCGTACGGCCCTGTGAAAGTTTTTTAACCACGTGTGACCCCGCAAATTTAAATTCAGCTTCCCCGTACCCGCGGGTAACGCGTACGGCCCTGCACGTGTGACCCCGCAAATTTCACAAAGCTAGGAAGCTGAAAATTTAGGGTAACGTTCCCCACCCACGTGTGACTCCGCAAATTTAAATTAAGAGCTAGGAAGCTGAAAATTTAGGGGAACGTCCCCCACCCACGTGTGACCCCGCAAATTTAAATTCATACCCACGGGTAACGCGTACGGCCCCCTGAAAGTTTTTCACCGGGAAGTAAATATCTCGGGAACCACGTCACGCGTAACGCGTACGGCCCCCTGAAAGTTTTTCACGGGTAAGTAAATATCTCGGGAACCACGGAATCTA